GGTGCAGGAGGGAAGAGGCACGTGGTTTAGCTTAGATTCTAAATAGTTTTTACGGCACTTGCAACACAACAAGGTCATAGAAGTTGCAAGGGGTGCTGCTGCTGTTGCATTCATGGACGTAAATCTCGTGAGTGGGCCTTAAAATAAAGTTTTACTTTAGTTCTAAGAAGTTTTACGGCACTCGCAGCACAAATACGTGACATAAGTAAGTGCCGAGCATTATATCTGTTACTAAAGAGTAACAAAAAGAAAGAGGTGAGATAAGGACGATAGGTACATACTGGAGGAACAAGTGATAACGAGACTGGGTTACAAAGCTGACAGTCGTGGTGAGGGAAATGAGAGTGGTCTTAGAACTGAGGGGGTGGACAACAGGGAAGAAGTAGAGGTGAACAAGGAATTTAAAAAATTATAATCACACAACCAATTCAAAGAGCGGGGGAAAGTGAAAACGTAGGCCGGAGCAGGTGTGAAAAAGAAAGGAGGTTTGTGATGTGTTCAATGTCGTTTTGTATTCCAAATCATAATTACGCCATCATGCCATAGAACGACGTTAATTTGTTTTGTCAAGAAATATTTATTAACCCCTCTAAAGCCTGATGATGTACACTTTTCCACATCTTGAGGTACCAGGGAACGCAAAACGAGTCGAAATGAAAGGACTGAAACACTCTTAAGTAGTGAGAATGTCCCGCTTGTGTATAAAGGGCAACTTGTAACATTCAAGATTGCGACAACATCCCAGCAGTGTATAAATGGCAGCATAATATATATCCAACTAACTGTGAACTGGCACAATCATCAGGCAGATCCTTTCAAGGATCCAGGAGAGGAGGGAGGAGCAGCTATGGCATTGTGCCGCCTGCAATGATGACTATTCTCGAAACAAGTAAGTAACCCAGTAAGTAAAGGGCAACATGACACATTGTAGATTGTGACATTATAACAGGAGAGTGTAAAGGTTTTAAAATTGTGACAGTTCCTCAGTTGTATGTAAAAGGTAGTATGTTAAATTGTAGACTGTGACAATATCCCAACTGTGTGTAAAGGGCAACATGAAACGTTGCGGATTGTGAGAATGTCCCAGCACTGTGTAAAGAGTTGCATGAAACACTGTACATTGCCACAGTTCCCCAGTAGCATATAAAGGGGTGCATGAAACATTGTTTGTAGATTGTGACAATGTCTCAGCAGAATATAGATCTAAAGGTTTTTAGAATGCGATAGATCCCCAGTAGAGAGTAAAAGGCGGAGGTACCGAGTATCTTGCACACTCACTTGAGCTTGATCTGGTTCACCCAGACGTAGACAGGTATCCTGGACTTGGTCTCGTCCTTGTGCCGCACCTGTTCCGGCAGCAGGAACTCCAGGGAGGGGGCGCCGTGCCGGATGCGCTCCTTGGCAATGGTGGACAGCAGACGAGTGCGGCGCAGGAGTAGCGCCTCCTCCACCTGTAGGCAGACGGCGTCGGGTTCATCTCCCGCCAGGGGCACGCGCCGCTGGAACTTCCGAGACTGCAGGTCGAACAGGATGATGCACACCAGACTGTAGTCTTCGCGGAGCTGGGGAGGACATTGTTTTTGTGTTGGTTTTATTTTGTTTTGTTTTTTAAATCTAGGTCCCCCCCCCGTAAAAAAACACTAGTAAAAAAACAAAACCTTTAAAAATCCAAACTGAAGTTGACGTATGGTCGATGCAGCAATTTTCATGAAGCCTAGAAGAAAATACAAAATATATCGATGTAGTTAAGTTTTTGCAATTATTTGTCTCGATTTTTCTAAGATCTCTTGCTTCATTTTTATCAGTGTAACCTGGCGTTATGTAATCTACTTCTACCCCCCCCCCCC